CACATTTGCCAAATACAAAGTAGCCACCTAAATGTTTTTGAAAAATTTAGCAAATCCATGACTCGTGCCAAAGGTCACGTGTCCGTCGTCACCAAAATTATCTCAGCTAGGGAACTTAGGTACGAAAGGGAAAGATCATAAACTGAGCACCCCCACTCACCCGATCAAAAATCGGCCTCTACTAATCATGATGTGAATTTTATTCACATTATATACTCTTGTTCCGATTATTAGGCTAGCATTACTTTGTGATGCGCACACACACAAGATTGACTAACTTGCACAAAATGGAACACTTGATTTCATGTTTGTTTTTGAAAAGAATTTGTGAATGTGCCACATGAAAAAGTGCGCTCAAATGTACATGAATCAAACTATCTCAATTCAAGCAATTAGCCTTCATCCACAAGCATTCAAATAGTTTATCATTTAAGTAATTAACCTCATGGCAAACATGCTAGATATGGCAATAATCACATTCGTGCAATATGCTAAAGCATAAAAGAGCTCACCTAATACTCCAAGCCAAAAAGATGAAAGAGTTAGGAAAAATGCGTGATCCTAACTATACAATGTGACTAATGCAACGCATGCGATATGCAATCTAAATAGACTCGGCTACTTAACATAACATGTGAATCAATTTGATACCATGCGGTCTAAGCACGTTTTCAAAGAAACGTTAAATTAACAGTGCAAGTTAGAATGATGAGCCGAACCTCGATGCATGCAAGACAATGGATGCAAAGCATGAGAGATGTTAAACGAAACATGATGCCCTAAACTAACCAACATAAGCTAGTAAATAAAAGGGAGAAAGACGTGGGGTTGGTAGACATACACATTATTACAAGTTTGCGCCCTCACGTAGGAGGGTCCGGATCGACTAACTAGCTAAGAAAATTACTACGAATTAACTAACTGTTACAAAACGAATTAAACTATGTTAGCTTGATTATTACAACAACAAATTAAATAATTAGTCTAGAAATAATTGGAACACAAAACTAACTAAATATTTACAAGACAAAATTAACTAGTTGCAACTAATTATTACAACAAATAACTAAGCTAAGTAATTAGATTAAACAGTCCCAGGAAGCGAGGAGTGCTCATGCATGCGGCCAGATTTCCACCTGAAAAAGCCATTTTTCTGGTGCTATGAAGCCTCTGTTGCATAGTTAGAACACTTGCACTATTTTTCACCTCAAAACCAACCCTGTTCTGTTTCAAAAAGCTACTGTTTGTTTTTGCAAAAGGTGGCCGGTAAGCCAGAAGTGGTGGCCTGCCGTCTAGAAATGGTAGCCTACCGGCCGCAAAATCCTAGTTCCTCCTGCTGCAACAGAGAGCAAACAGAGCACAACCAAGGAATTCTCAAGGGTTGTTTGCACAACTTACCCCTCCTTATCATCAAACAACTCAAAGGAGTGGTAAATTTGATTCACAAACCATCAATCAATGCAATTTCATTGTATGATCGCCTATGAACCAAAGTGTACAAGTTTAATAAATGCAACAAATAAAGACTCTCAAACCTCCTCCATGTCATGGATTGATCAAGGAAAGTGGTCGACAATGACTCTTGAACCGTTTTCATCATGAACAAGTATGAAACTATTCAAGACTCAAGGGTTCAATTAACGTCCGATTGAGCCCTAGCCAAGTTATTAGCTTGCATCATTTTTAGTTCTCATTTTATTACTCCATTTTAATTACCAACCATTCCTTAGTAAATTAAGTCCAAAGGTGAGCTTTAAGTCCTCTAATGGAAAGAAACATCAAACCAAGAGTTGTTTTAGGCATGAGAGAAGTGTCATGCCATTGGTAATGAACCCCCAAAGGGATTAAACCATTAAACATAAGACTTCAATCTCATGCTTTAAACAAGCAATTAGTTTGAACCAACTTTCAAAGCAAAGCAAAAGCCAAGAAAGAAGGGAGGTTGCAGAAGTGATTAGGGGTGAAAACAAGTATGGAAAGCCATAAACAAATGTTATCAACTCAAATAGGTGGGTGGCTAAAGCCTAAACCACCAACCTAGGAGGACTATTACACTACAAACATACTACACAAGGTTCAAATGCAATGAACAACCAAGAAAAGTCCTAAAACAGTGCTAAATCAGTCCAAAAACATACTGGAATTAAGACAAAAATAGCTAAAACAATAAGTTAAAACATAGAGCTATGTTAAGCTAGTAAACAAAGCATAAGGAGGAGAGGCTACCTTCTTCATTTTTGGCCTTCAAAACAACATTCTAGCCACTAAAAAATCTCTGAAATTTAGTATTTAAAAGCTCAAAGAAAGTGGACAAAGAGGTGGGAAACACAAGGGTAAAAGTCTTGGAAGCTAGGTGGAAGGAATGGTGAGCCATCCCTCTACCCTTATTGGCCTTAAACCACAAGTTTCAGCCCAAAATTTCAGAGTTTAGACGGTCCAAAAATAGCCCAAAAACAGTAGGCAAAATAACAATTAAAGCAAAACAATAAACCAAGACTTATACCTCTTGAAGAGGAGAACACTTTCCAAGTGTTAAACCAACACTTACATACCCTCAAGAGCTCAAAGTAGGCTCAAAAATACCTCAGCTCAAAGATCATAAGGTTTGGTTTAGAGTGTATAGGCAAAGGCTCAAGAAATTTGCAAGAGAGAGAGAGAGAAATAAAATATTTTGCTCCAAAATTTTCCAACCTTAAAGATGGAATGAGAGGTCTCCTATATATAGACAAACATCAAACTCCCTCAGAAATATCAATACATATATGTGTAGACAGGTGCAAGTTTTTGTAGAAATAGCTGGCACAACTGGCCAAAATATCTGCCAAAACACACTTGTGGCCCTAATTCTGGCCTGCAGGCCACACAAGTGGCCAGCAGCCAAGATCAATGGGCGGCCGCCAACAGTGGTGGTCAGCAGGTCCTAAGGTTTTTTAGGCTTGAAGAACTATGGTTGTGGTCCAAAACAAGGCAAGAGGTGTATAGGATTTTGAAGGCTCAAAGCTGTGGCATTCTACTGAGGATTTCGAGCACTTGAAAAGCATATACACATTTATCATTGGGTGTGCAAGCAGTGACGTCCAAGTCGTAAGGGCAATCAAAAATGGGGTGTCTATACATGGGTGTTGAAATATAAAGTCAAAAATTTTGGACAAGAAATAATAAAGAGAATTTAGTTTCTTATGCCTAGTCTCAACTACAAGCACTAGACTGCAAGGAGAGAAAATGGTGGAGGAAGATTTAACAAGTTACTTGATCATATTTATTAAAAAATACATTGTTTAAGATTTTAATTGGATTCTATTATAGATACTTTTAATAAAATGAAAGATGGCCGAGCACAAATCATGTACTTTATTAGATAGATTATCTTACATAGATTATCTTACAGTTACTATGGGTCTGTTTGGTAACGTTTATGTTTTCAGTTTATATTTACAAAAATTTTATAAATTGGTTTTTGTTTATTTTTTGTTTATTTTTAAAAAACATAAACTACAAACGCGTTTGATAATTGACAAAATATTTAAAAAATTTTAAAAATATAAAAAAGAGTGAGAAATGGCAGGTGGTGGTAAGTGGCGGCGGAAGACAGTGGTGGAAAGTGGTAACGGTAGGTGGTGGGTAGCGGGTGGTGGTGGTGGTGGTGGTGGATGGGTGGGTGACGGTGGCGTGGAGGTGTAGTGGAGGAATAGGGGTGTTGGTTGTAGTTGTGGTGTTGTGGTGGTGGAGGTAGAGAGTTCTATTAATAATGGTGGTAATGGTAGTGGTGTGGTGATGGTTATTGTGAAATAATGGTGGTGCTTATGATGATGATGGCAATGGTGGTGGAAGTGTTAGTGTTAGTGTGGTGGTTATAAATTTAGTAAGCATCAAGCAAATGTTTAAATACTAATTTTTTTAAAAAAAAGAAAGTTAGCCTATATTTTGAGGAGTCTTTTAAAGTTTTTAGGTGACTAACTTATTTGATTTTTATTTAATACAACAAATTTTAAGTTCTGAATTGAGTACTATTTATATAATAAAGAAGATATTAAAATATATATATATATATATATATATATAATTGTAATAAATGGTCGTGGAGGTTGAAAATCCAAACCCAACCCAATAGAAATATAAGTCCAGATAAGCCAAGTAAGCCCAAAATAAATAAATGGTCAATCAGATCCATTGAGCATATCAAACAAAATCATGACTGACCACTAAGATAAAGATGACTCTCTAATTGGGAGCAAATTCAACAGGCAAGGGCAAATTCAAGTTGCCTACCACTGAAATAATCTCTGACAAGAGAGGTATCCATCTGATTAATTAAGATCCAACGATCGTGCCCATATGCAAGTTGGCCACCACTTTTGATAAAGGGCAACCGTTCAATAAGTGGAGATCTGACGATCAATAACAAATGCAAGCTGATCACTACTAAAATGATTCCTGACAAAAGACTAACCGTCCGATCAAAAGAAGATCGACGGACAACAATGGCATACCAATTAACTATTAAAAAAAGTCAAGCAAACAATAGGACGTAGAGAGATAACCCAAAACACCTACCCAAACATACCCCTCCTATATTTTTCTATTACAATCATAACTAACAAGAGTGTTAATTTGATCGTTGGACAATCCTTCCGACATATTTAGGTCAGGAGTAATATCTGACTTTGATTTGTTTTGTAGGTGCAAATTAAGACATATCATCTCATTAATCTCGTGTAGAAATAAATTTACCATCCAAAATTATATTATATTATAGTAAATTAAAGTTAGAATTATAAAACAATTTTTTATTATTTTTTTAATGTAAGTAAGTTAAATTATATTCATGCACATCACTTTGTACTTTCCGATCCCTTATTTATTAAAATAAAAAGAATATTTCTTTATAATTTATATAATAAATAAAATTATTATTTTAAAATAATAATATTATAACCATATTAATGATAATATTATAACCATATTAAATATACTAATGGATACATAGAACAACCTATTAAAATAAACCAACCTTATTCAACAAGAAATAAACCAACCCTTACTCCCCAAGAAAACCCCTAGAGACTTCTCTCACCTAGTCTTCCCCAATTCTTCTCTATCTGTGTGTGGGTATATATCAGTGTACAGATAACTTTTAACAATGGCGAAACTGAAGATAGCGGGGGCATGGTCTGGGGTTTTGGAGGTGGAATTGGAGGAATGGACTGTACCCATGTTGAGAGAAGAGGTTGCAAAGCGATCCAACTGTGGATCCGAATCGATCAACCTTATATGCGCTGGCAAGGTTTTGAAAGACGGCGATGGGACTCAGAAACTTGCTCAATTGGGCTTCAAGAACAATTCCAAGGTTTTGGCTAGTCGTGTCTCTGCTGATCAAGGCAAGGCCTTGAAGGACGAATTGATGGCCGAGGAAGAACGCTCTACTCGACTCTCTAGACTCAAGTCAGTCCCTTTCTCTCTCTAGAACCCCCCCCCCCCCCCCTCTCTCTCTCTCTCCCCCCATATATATATATATGTATGTGTCTGTTGAAGTTCCCTTTTTTCTTTTTCATTTTTTTTTCTTTTTTTGTTAATTGCAATGGGTATTTGATGAATTATGTATTGGGTTGAATTAAACAAAAGTTGGTATTCTAGTATATTGATTATCTGGGGTTATATGTGTATGCATAAATATATACTATCCGGGTGTGCATATCTTAAATTAAGTTATAGTACGAACAAATGATCAATATTGATTTTGCAATTTTGAAATTTCAATTGATAGTTACCAATAGAAAGTGGAATGATTTCCTGGGAAATTATAAAGATTGATGTGCAGGTCAAAACCTTCTTCATGAATCAGTACTAACTCCCCAGTTAGATGACCCTTAATAAGATTGATGGTGTGGTGCTTGGACCTATAATTTGGGTGTTGAATTCTATGAGTAGTGAGACTTATGGTTGGTTCATGGTATCCATGTGGTTTGTGTTTGAGTTAGATGCTAGAATTAAGAACTTAAACAGGAACACAATTGAATTGTCATGGAATCGAAATTATGCTATTGCATTGGTGTTTTACTTATTTTTGTCTTCATATCGAACTATTATACATATGTATTTACTTTTCAATTGCAGACATTACCACTAAGTCTGATAGGGAGAGAAAAGTAGGCTTTTTATTTGGTCAACCAATGTGTTGGATTGAGCCTTTATTAGGAGATGAGTATCATGCAACCTTATAGCCATTTTTTACACTATGAATAGCTAAGAAAATTGCACACTAGGGGTATACTTATTTTGTGAGGAGTAGGAAATTGGCATAGACAACTATTAGGGAGGTCATCATTATTGTTTGATAATTTGAGAAGACGGGATAGGTTTTCGATAGGATGGTGGTGGTGTATGTGTAAGTGTGAAGGAAAGTCAGTGAATCACTTTCTGCTTCTTAGGTTTGGAGTTCGTTGTTCTCAGTTTTTTGAATGATATGGGTGATATTGAGGTCAGTGTAGGATCTTTTGTCTTAGAGGTTGTCTGAGAACTAGTAATAGAAAGGCTTGGGACATTGCTCTTTTATGTGTTATCTAGTGCTTTTGGAGAGACAGAAATTGTAGATTGTTTGAAGGGAAAGGAAAGAGAGCTCAATCTATTTATTGAAAGGCATGGTGTTGTTTCATTGTTCTTTTGGTTAAGAGAGAATTTTTCATTTTTTGTAGTGTTTTTTGGGAGTCATATATACCTATTGATTTTTAGGAGTCCTTTTTGTTGTTGTTAGTTTGCTTTGTATTCAGTGTGTACAAGGTTGCATGGCTTATCACCCAGATTTTTTAGTGAGGTTCATATAGGCTTTATAAGATCCTAATGACAACCAAAACATTCCGAAAGCTCATCTTATTCTTACCTAACCTAGTTGCATTTTAAAATGCATATACTATTCCTATAACCACAAGAGTTCTACACCACTGAAGCGGTGAAGGAGAAATATTTGATTGTGTATATAACTTTCTGATTAGTGGTGCTAACCATCATACATATCACAAGGAAGAAACTATTAATAATTGATTGCCGACATATTTAAAATTTTCAAGAATGCGTCAAATGTCAATTGGTCACATCCACGTGACTTGCCTATGAACAGCTATGCAACACGTGTGGGGGGACTGCGCTTGGGGGAGAGTCCCAGCACACAACACAAGCTATATCTTATTACCAAGTCTCTGTCCCTGTCTGTCATGGGTGAGGATATTGGAGATTGACCTTTGCTAGCCAGGTATCACCCTTGGATTTCAAACGCGCTTCATTCTTGTGGGTTGATCACCCAACCTTTGAAGACCTTTGAACTGGAATTACATCCTTAGGCCTGCGCCTATCACAAAAATTCTCTGTCCTCTCTCTCATCATCTCCTAGACTGGATAAACCCTACAATCATCTTTGATTGCACACCTCTCATGAACCAATGGTGTCTGAAATGTTTTTTGCAAATGGGTTAGTGTATTAACTTAGCACTTACAGATGGCTGTTGTGTCGTGACTTTGACTATCAGATTGTTATAGTATTTTTTGAGGTGGAGCGGAAAGGAGGTATCAATAGCAATAAGATCATAATTCCATTTTGTTCAGCTTGTTTAAACAGATTCACTGCGTTTTATTTCCTCTCAAGCTTTGCTCATAACAACATGAAACTACAGGGCTGCTGTGAATTCACTGGCCAAGAGACATGCAGATGGTTCATTACCAATTGAAGACTACAACATAGAACTGGAAAATCAGAGTGGAGAAACAGTACAATTGGGATCTGAGACTGATCAGCGGTATGGTGTATAAATGGATCTTTTATATGTTTTATTGCTAAAATACTTTTGTAGGTATGTGATCAGTTCTCTTTCTAAAGTCTTTAAACCACAGTTCTTTCTAATAGAAACAAATTTTGATGGTAATTTGACAGGGCTGTGATGATGGGTTTAATGCTTCATGCAAATGCTAAACAGTTGATTAGAACGGAAAGGTACAAAGATGCATTGGAAGTGCTTGCCATGGGAGAGGTTAGTATCTGGTGGACTACATGCCAGAACAAAAAGAGTAGGTTTGCGTGATATAATTGTGCGTGGATAAATACTCAATTTAATTTATGGCCTTCCATTTTTAGCTTGGGTTTTGCATACCAAATTCAAGAACTACTCCAAATGATGGCCTAGAGGAGGGATAACGTAGGGTGTTAGCCTGAGCTGTTTTTCTTCATAAATTTTCCTGCAATAAGATGTTGATGGTCATCAATTTTTTTGATGTAGCTCTTCCTTGATTGAGCACCCTTTGTTCTTCATCTTCCTGGAAATGTATATGTATTAATACATAAGTTTGTATGCATTGTTTTAGGTTCTTTTTACAAACAAAAAAAAATGATACAGGTCCTTTTTGTTCACTTCAAAACATTTTTAAAATGCATTAATATCTGTGTTTGAGTGTGCGCCCGCTGTGCAATTTTTTTTTTTTAATTGTTTAGGGGATGATAATGCACCCAAACCAATTTTTTATTATACAAAAAAAAATATATACACATTTTTTTTTTGTGTGTGTGCGTGTGTAATTGCAAGAAGAAATTAACCTAGCTTATTCTTTTCTTGTAGGAGGCGTTTTCTCTTTGCGACTCCAAGGTCATTGAGGTGAGGGATTTGTATTTTAGAAGTTTTTGTTTTTTAGTTTTCTAAGAAATAATTACATAGAGCCATGTCATGATGCATAGTCTATCTTGTCATTTGTTGAAATTGATGAAATCTTCTTTTTGGTGTTTCCTTGGGACATGCATTTTGTAGTGCTAACCTCCTATGAACATTCTTGGCAGAGTTACTATCTTGAAATTGGTTGTTGATGTTTTGTTGGCTTGTCAAAAGAAGCAACTAAATGTAACTTAGGCATCTTTTGGCTTCTTCTTCTTCTTCTTCTTCTTCTTCTTCTTCCTCCTCCTCCTCCATGAAATGGGTTGGTTGTCAAATTAGCCAACTCTTAGACTTCGCAAATTTCATTTTAACAAAAGAAGCTTACTATTCAGTGCAACCTTGAGGATGGCCAAGTTTTCTTTGCATCAAGAGTACGCTAAAAAGATAAGAAGCAACCCTTAGCATAATGACATTGTGCAATTTGACATGATTCTGTTAATGTAACTCTTAATGATTTCATCGCTTCCCTTTTGGCTTTCCAGCTCATTGATAATGTCCCAATACTACAAATAGATATGGTGTGGTGCTACTTCATGCTCCGAGACATCAGTTGGCTCTCAGTGGCAGGGAATGCGCCTTTCAAAAGCGAAGGAAGGAATTGAACGTGCTCATGGGAAGGAATCTAGTCGTCTCAGGCTCCTTCAAGGAGCTCGCCATCCAGAGATCGCATTGTATAATTCTTTGATGCCTCCATTTATGTGTCTTACCATTTGGAAGTTAATAAAAATATTGTTCTAGTTATTCAATGTTATGTCATTTTATTGATTTGTCTATAGGCACCTGCGGATGGAACTGTTGGAAGGAGTAGTGGCATACCACAGTGGTCAGTTTGAAAAATCCAGACAGGCCTTGACCTCTGCACAAACTAAATACTTCCAGGTTTGACTTTCTTTATGTTTTCGTCACATGATATGCTAATTGTAAGAACTGCAAGAATAAAATTAATCAGATCCAAACATTCAGCATGCATCCTTTCATTTTGAGGTCATTAGTCTTCTTCTCACCACACGTTCTTCTATTAAAATCTATGTTATATAGACATGTCAAAATGAATCAAATACCCGTGTCGTCCACCTAACACTTGGACAAGAGTGTGAGATGTGTCTAATACTTTCCATTGGACACTTCTTATATATTTGTGTTTAACGCTATTGGTATATGTATATATTGTTGTATAATTGCTATAAAATGAGTGAAATATTTTTTTGACACTATGTTACATATAACATTATTTTATTTCATATAATAGATTAAAAATATAAAAAATTATCTTTTTTGGCCGAGTCCGCATACCCTTAAATTTGAGGTTTACTGGGTCCCGACGTCTAGATATGCACCTGTATACCTGTACCTGAATCTTGCTTCCATACTGTGCCATTCAAATCAGTTTTGGTCCAAACACTGTCAGCTATTTCCAATGCTTTCATTATTTGTTTGTTTATTTTCCTTGCATCTGCAACCTCTCTGACCTTTTTCCCTGCTTCACAAATCACCCCATGATTTTTATGTTTTAGCAGCTAATCGTCCTGAGTAATTCTTTTTATTTATTTCAATCTTAACTAAACTTTTCTGTTTCTAAATTCAGCTTCAGGTGCCTGATGAAGCCCTATCACTACTTATGAGCATGGGCTATAAAGAACATCATGCAAAAAGGGCTTTGCGCATGAGCAATCAGGATGTTCAGAGTGCTGTTGATTTCCTTGTCGAGGAGAAGGCAAAAAAGGCACAAAAACAGGAGGAGGACATTCGGCGAAGGAATGATATCATGTGAGTTTCATTCTAATCTAATATTGAATCAACTTCTATCCTCTTTGGTATGCTTTTTTATGTGTCAAAGATTGCAGGGAGCAAAAGTGTTATGGAATGACACCCCTCAAGAAACCTGTGGATCTTCAGAGATTGAATGAATTGGTGTCAATTGGGTAAGTGGAACCAGAATAATGTATTTATTTTCCCAATCACTGAGTATTATTTTTTTCTTTTTCCTTCCTTTTTTAGAAGTCAATTCTTGTTGTTAACTTTTGTCATCAGTATTATTTTCTCACTAGATGTCGCCATTTATTCTTAGGTCTTCAAAAGTGAAAATAAATATTAAAATATAGAAGACAGAAGGGTGAAATTAATGTAATTACATATTGCTCTGACTCTTGGAATTTTTTTCCCCCCTGAAATTTTAAATAAAAAGTGAACCAATCTTGTCACCTGCCTTCCAATGCCTTAATGCAGTTCAACTTTGGTCCCACTTTTCCTGGGGCACAGTCCTACATTTCTGATACATTGATCGATAACGTTTTGGCTGTGTTTGATATCTGGATTAGGTTCACTATGATTATGAGTTCGGTGGGATTGAGTGATGGGATTACTAATATGGTGGTATTAGGTTGGAAATGTGAGATTAATTGCATTTGTTTGTTTACTATGGGAAATAGTTACATGCTCGTGTTTGTTTTGCTTTAGTTGGTTGAGATTAAATCTATGAAATTATTTGAATGCTCTCATTACATAAAAGTCAGCTTTGTGCATTGAAAAAATAATAGTCAGCTTTGTTAGTCTTCTACCGGCTAATCCTATGGGATATGATTAGCAATACCCCATGGGAATGCTAACCCCACCCTTGTAGTGGATTCATAGTCCCATGCCATATTTCACAACCAAGCTTAATTTTTGTGGGGCCCACGGATTAGCAATACAATCCCAACTGCCCAAACCGGCTACCGAACATGTCACTGTGGGCATCCTTGTAATCACTAATCAAGCTGACAGGTATTGAATTTTGCAGGTTTGCAAAAGATCTCGCTGCAGAAGCCCTTCGAAGAAATGAGAATGACACTCAGAAGGCTTTGGATGATTTGACAAATCCAGAATCTAATTCTGCCATACAGGTAAGTTATCATAACTTGAATATTTTCTTTGGTTCAGTAATCTCAGAATCTAATCACTTGTTTCTTTTTTTGATTTGCAGCTCGATATTGAATCAAAGAAAAGGAAAAGACTGCGTCGAGCAGCTGATGCTGCCATTGAAGAGCTTATATCCATGGGTTTCCCAAGAGCAACAGGTGTGTAGTACTCACTAAATTGTCCTAGGGGTTTTTTTTTTTGGGGGGGGGGGGGGGGAGTGTTGGGTGTTAAATTTCATTGACCCCTGGTTTGTTGACACTAAATTGACCTTCATTTTGTTAATTTCTTCCTTGCTATTGAAGAGATGGTGACTTGTCACTCTTAAGAGCCGAAAACACCAAGCTACCATCACTAACTGTTAACCACTAGGGTTAGCCTAGTGGCCAAAACTTGTGTATCTCACAGTTATGTCATGAGCTCAGCTTGTACCACATGCACACACACAAAACAAAACAAAAACAAAAAACAAAACGAACGAAACCTCAACATATAATTTTTGTCAAGGAAAATACTGCATCAGGCAGGGTAACTTTATTTTTATTTTTATTTAAAAAAATATGGTTTTCACACTGAGCAAGAGGGACCACGTGCTGTGGAAAATATTCTGGCACCATTGCGTCGTCATGTTTTTCTAGTTACCCAAATGCTTATTTTCCAGTATTAACCTATACTTCTATTAATTTGTGCCCCATTTAATGGGATTTAAGGCTTGGTTTGGTTTGGTTTGGTTTGGTTTGACAAAAGTTTCTCAAGTATTGAACTCATTGCAGTCATTATATCGATACAAAGAAACAAGTAACTAAGTAAATGGCAGAAAAAATAGTAAATTAATAAATAGTAAATAAATATGGTACTGCTAATGTTACAAGTTCCCACCATATCGGTAGGAATAAATAGAACTTAAAAGCTCTGCCAAACGACCCCTGGGGGGGGTGGGGAGATGGGGTTCACTTTATTGCTTATTTATTTATTATTATTTTTTGGTTTGTAGTGGTTGAAGCGGTCCGGGCATTTGGCACAAAAGATCGAGCATTAAGTCATCTACTCGGACAATCCGACTCAAATCCTGCCATTGCAGTAGATGGGGATGCAAATTCTTCTGCTTCAACGCTTGGCGCTGATATTTTGAGCACCGAGGGTGGCGTTGAAGGTTCATCCAGTGTCAATGGAGATATTGAAGGTCCAAGTCACAAGATCGATGATCGGGATGTGGAGATGGAAGTTGAACTTACAGAGGACCTACATAATGCGGATGCTTTCTCGGACTATGACATTGAAGTTGCAAAAGAAGGTGAAGCTATATCTGAGTACTTGGCTCTCCTCGCTTCTTCTGAGAATGGTGAAAAAGTTTCATCTTCTTCACATTGAGGTGAAAGTAGCTTTGAATGTACATGAAGTTTATCGCATATATGGATTTCGTATCAGACAGTTAAGGGGATGGGAATGACTTGATTTCGGATTATAATTGGTGTTTTAGTTTGGGTACATTAATATGAATGAAACTGCATTGCAAAATCACCTGTACAGTGTATAGAGATGGTTAAATGACTTTTTTATGGATAAGCAGAGAATGGTGAATAAGATGATTTGGTCATTTGGTATCTTAGAGCCTCCTAGTTGTTATAGTCGAGTTTTCAATGCAACTTTTGTGCTAGCTAAGTGAGCTGAGCTATCAACCTTGAGGTTTGTTGGTTTGAATCTGAGCAGTCACTTCATGCAATTTATGCTGAAGGTTAGGTCTGTATCAAATTTAAAACTACTTCTAGGACCCCCCATAAAATGGGGATTAAAGTGGGTGTAGTTTTTTATTTTATTTTTTTCTGTGCTAACACATAAACAATCACATGCAATCACATAAGTTGCCTCACATGTGATTGTTTTTGTGTTCTTAGAGCTTCTCCCTTAAAATTGTGTTTGAATCTTAGATTTACAAGGGTATGTATAAAAAAAAAAACTTCTACTTGGTTTACTTTTTCTTCTTTTTTTTCTTTATAAAATTCAAGATTTAAATATAGCTTATGAAGAAAAAATGAGCCTAATTTAATTCCATGGGAAGAACCCCTTTTTGTGTGTCCAATTTCTATTGGATTGATCTCCATAGAGGACACTCAAAATGCTGACAAAAATTCATAATCCAAATATAATTTTTAAAAAAATAACTGACATTTTTCATGTTTAATTTGGAATAGTATAAGTCATCTTAAAAATGACATTTAATCATTTTGTAATGAAAATCTTTATCCAAGATAAATTATCCTGGACAATATATTTTGCATATGTAACATAAAAAGACCCATGATGTAAGTAATCCCAAATCAAAAAAATTCAAACCAAGATAGCGTAATCCACAAGATCAAATGCAATATGACTATTTACATGTTTTAAACCCACAATACTCAAGTCACAATAGAAAAGCAACTCAATACACAAGACTCAGCGACAGCAAAATCTAGAAACAATAGTTACGCAGAGTTTTTACCTCCACATGTAATGTGTCTATTTACATGTTTCAAACCCATAATGTTCAAGTCACAATAGAATAACCTTACCCATGCATCAAAGTCCACATTTGCAAAATAATTTTATCAGGAATAAAATAAAATAGTCTTATCCCTCTCCCCTTATTTGTGAATCAAATGTGGCCTATGACAAAATAAAATAGCCTTATCCCTCTCCCCTTAATTGTTAATCAAACGTGGCCTGACAGTTTAATTGTATGAGTCATCCTTTGGACAACTATAATATCATTTAGGTATACCACAGAATAGATATTGTTGAAGGTCATGCGCATCCCTTAAATATGTGACTGCAGTAAAATAATTTCTCCCTTACATGAAATATCACAAATTTTGGGATCTCCTTTACTAGATACAAATTTTGGTCCATAACATGTAAAAAGGAAGTTATAAAGAATCATGAGTTCTAGATGTAGAAAAAAAATATAATTATTACATAACTGATTTTAACTAAAACTAGCCAGATATGGCATCAGATTTATGTTGCATGCTCTTCTAAATCAAAAGCAGATGAGTGTCCGACGTCTGTAACCATAGTAATTTTCTCATCTTGGAAACTGTCTTCCTCTGATTTTGGTTTTTTGTGATATTTTGGGAGCACGTTACAGTCAATGGTATGCGACACTGGTCTCTCTTCTTGAAACAATCTGCAAATTCAAAACTAGACATCAGAGCAGAAAATGAAAAAATTGCAGCCACTTGTAGAGTTATGAAACCAAATGAAGTGGGCTCAAACCAACAGGACAGCTCATGGTATTCATTTTTTTTTTTTCAGTGTGTGAAAATATATATATATATATATATATATTTTTTTTTTGAGAGGTAACCACTGGCGCGTGAGTTGTTCAAAACATTTTACAAAACTAACAAATGTCATCCAAAACATATACTATTACTAATCAACAATGCTAGGTGGCCCAAATTTTCAAGGCTCGAATGTCTCAAAATGGCGTCGTTTTTGGTGTAAAACGACGTCGTTTTGACACATTCGAGCCATCGGGCCACACAAATTCGGGCCATCAAGCATTTTTCATTACCAATATTATTTTTTTTCCCAGGCACAGCATTTAGTGATTTCGCCACCCCTAGTTTCTTTTGATAGGTTTGCACCTTCAGAAGATACACATGCGAAAAGAATTCTTACATGATGAATTCCACATGTATGTTTTGGGGCATCCAGATGATAAACAAGCTCTTATCATGGTCCATAATAAGAATCTATAACTATAATGTTGTATTCGAGATAGTATAGTCAAGGCCCTAAAATAATTGCTTGATTTTGTGAGAGACCACGGTATGCCAAGTGCTAAAAGAAGTGGCATCAGTAATGTTTGACGAGCATCGTCACTCTTGTTAATATGCTGATGTTATAGAAATGTTTTAGCAATATATATGGAGGCATTCATATGCAGCATGTTGCAGAATGCATCAACCCCACGGAAAAAAACAAAGCCAACATCTCCCTCATTTTGGAGTACCATTAAATCAAATTCTGACTAGTTCCAACCTTAAAAACATTCATCATTTTGCAGTGAGATTTATCTACCAACCATTTATAAGATCTACTTTCCTATCGTACAAGAAGAAACATAAACAGTAAATCAGATCTGGCCACAAAAATGGGTTTGCAACATGATCCTAACATTCAGCAACGGCCCAACATTTTTTTAGGCCTTGGGCTAAATATCAGAATAAGACATCTTATTGAGCCTTCAAAGAATTGGGACCGTTGGCAATAAGAATTTTTTTAAGATTTTCTTGTTGGGCCTTAGGCAACAGGCTAAGTGGCCTAATGGTTAATTTTGTAAATCCATGTTCAAATCATCATCCTCTACTTCTTTTTCTTTCCTTTTCTTTTTCTTTTCTATTTCGTCTATAGGCTTGAAATAAGGTCTATTATAGAGGGTTCGTCTGTATATGAAAGCGTTGTCTTCATCTTTCCATTTTGCAGAGTGGTAAGTTGGCCAACAATCTAAAGTGATTCATTGACAGCTAGCCCCCATATTAAAGATGTGAGCTCTAATTTTACGCCAGTAAGAGAGGAGTAATAAGCTTTTTATGTTTTTGGTAGTCACAAAAATAATATCAAGAGTAAGATTGAAGCTATTTCTCACTTATATGATATTCAATCAATTTAAACGTCAGAGAAAGGAGAGAGAAACTTACGGATGTTTGCAAAGCATTGGGCATTGAACTGTGAGTGCATACTTGCACGTGGATAACTCTGTAATAGAACTAATCATAGCTCTGGGTTCTGAGCAGACAAATCTCACCTGAAAATCAACATAAGAAAAATACAGACATATAAGAGATAAAATGAAAGGAAACCTAAATGCTATTAAAATACCCATACCTCAGTTTCTCGAGGCTGATTTGTTAGATCACAGAGAGTTCCATTTCCATACTGATGAGCATGATATCTGCACAAACCATTCAATGAAATAACGAGATTTCATTTTTCCACCTTTCTCTGAAGTATTTTTTCTAAAATTTTACCTTATCTGCACATATTGAGGAATGCATACCTTTGCGATGCATCATTTGAGCGAGGATCTTTCAGCGTTGAAATGTCAGACAGGTTCTGGTTGTAAGCTGCTGTAGCCTCAGCATCATAAACACCCAAGACAAACTCTTGAACCACCGTGGCATGATTTATAGCCTATGTCATAACCAAACAACGCACCTCAACAGATGCAAACAAATGAATACATTGTTATGCTACAGTCCAGTCCAAGTGACCTAATAGACTGATAACAGTGTTACCAGAAAATGGTAATACCCTAGCAAATTACGTTTTGGACCACATGTTCTGAAGCATGGTTACATTTCATTCCAAAATGGTAAAAATTTAGCCATCTAAAGCAATCCCAAAAACAATTTCCATATATTTCCTAAAGGTTTCCTTATAGATTTAAAAAAATCAAATATATTGAACTAAAATCAAAAGTGAGTATTTTTTTGACATGACAAAACGTCAAAAATTAGTCACAATGCTCATAGAGATTTGTTAATACATGATTTAATTAATTTGGAAAGAAAAAAAAAATGTTGCATTTGATTGGATGTCTAATTCTTAAGCAAAAATTACTCTAATAGTACCTTACAAGGTACATTTTTATTTTATAATAAGTCTGCTCCTATCATACAACATTTTAAAGCACATGACGTACCACATTCCTGTTCCACGTTCTAGGTCATAGGCTAATACATTGTTATACCCAAGTGACCTAATACATTGTTAAGCTGCTGTTGGGGAAGGTCTTGAAAACCCTCACTGAGCATGGATTGGCCAATTCGGAATGCATCTTGCCTCAAATTGTGAATCACACATTCATGCCCTATTTGGTTCTTTGATTTCTTGAGGGAAAGGACAAGAAAGGATAATGAAAATGAAATAAGAGAAACTAAATTTACTTAATTTTGTTCGACTGGGCCGAGAATGAGAATAAAACTAAGAGGCATTTATCAGAAAATTTCATTTTTTGTTAATCAGAGAAAACTGAACAGGCCCAAGTAATCTGATTTCCCTTTTCTTTTCCTTTCTCTCAACAAATTTGAGATCCAAACCTAACGTGAGGGAGCTCAAACCTTGCAGTGCTTGCAAAGTAAGGCACAACATCTAACAACAAAAAACTAGGAACTCAGAAACTCTCATAAATATCCATCATAGTACACTGCAGATTGAGGTATCCTCAAGAATTTAAGGCAAATTATGATATCAATTCATGGCATGCTTATGCCTTCCCTTTTTACAAGTATAAACTCAAGTACAGAAGCAAAATGTAACTGGTAAAAGTAAAACATTAATGGGAAAAATCAAATTCCATTTGCAAAAGGATGGCCTAATGAAGACTGAAAACAACTTAAGAGACACTTAGGTACTGTTTGGTTCATTGGAACGAGAGAAGATTGGAATGAAATGATCATTCCTTAGCCTCCTTATGAAATGACCATTCCCTTCCTATGTTGAATGATGATTCCATTTGCAATGTAATTTTTATCAATTTTTTAGTGAACCAAATGTGAGAATGGACATTCTAATGGAATAATCATTCCATCCCACTTCATTCTAATGAACCAAACAAAACATTAGGGGGTTACCTTATCATCCTCCAAATGAAGTTGCCTCAATTTGTTCATGTAACAAAATTCATATGTCCACCAACCTTCTTGCTGCATAAAATAATTAGATATATAAATATTTTGAACTACAACCAAAACAATATTAGAAATTGTTGTTGATAGATTAAAACAATTAAGTCCATCAAACTTTACGTGGCAAATGAATATTTAATTGATTTTTCAGTAATATAAGAATGTATGAAAATAATTTTTGATAGGAGACATGTTAAAGGAAGTCTTAGGTGATAGATCCCAACTCTGATAAAGCATTGGTCCTTTAGCACTTCAAGTAACTCGTCTGGTGTCTTCAATTTAATCCGTTTCTCAGTTTCCACAATCAAGCTGCTTGTATTCTGTTGAGAAACTGGTTTTCCACTCTTCAATTTCTTGACTTTAGGTAAGAAACATAAAAACTTCTCTCCAAATTTGTTGGACATAACCACAGACTCCTGGTCATCATCCTGCAAAAATCAAAATTTGGCCCAAATGTTAGAAAGGTTACTTTGATGGTTTCAGGAGGTTCCTTCGAATCTGTGGAAGAAGATTTTAAAAATACTATAATTTGAAACGTGCAAGCTTTCAATTTCATAAGGAAACTTTTTTTAAGTGATATTTAACTGTGTCAGTGTTTATTATTGATTTTCTAACTATTCATCAGCTCTTATTGAGCTATGTTATCTACCTATGCCTTCCATCAGAGAATCTCCATTTTTTTCCCCAGTTTCAAGTCAATGCTACCACTACTCTGTCTTAGAAAGAAAACAAACGCAATGTTTAAAAACCCAACTGCCATTCAGATTGTGCAAGTTTCCATCAAAAATAGGACTAACAATTTATCAGAAGCACCAGTTGCAAACCTTATGATCTAATTTTTGTGTAGATCTATACGGGGTTGTTTGGGGTGTCCTAAATAAGTGCACTTTTTGTCTTTTTGGAATAAAAAATTGAGGAAAAAAATATGGATGTTTGGGTTAACTTTTTGACTTTTTATGGAAAAATATGTATTAAAAAATTGTATAAATTAGTGTGTAAGGGAAAATTAGGATTGGGAGTTGTGCAGCCGTAATTATTGACTTTTGGTAAATAGTGTTAACTTTTTAACTTTTTGAGTAACTTTTTGAGTTTTTGGCTTTTTATGGACTTGCCAAACTTGGCCTAATTGCAATGGTGAAGAGGCAGTACTTGCAAGAGAACTCATTAAAATGCAGAAATAAAATTATTATATAAAAGACCAAGAAAAACAAGTTATAATAAAATTCGGGATAAAAGAAAAAAAAATAATAATATAGCATCACCAACAGCCCAAATTTGCACACATAAATGAAAAACCCGTTCCTCACAAAGTGATGTTTCTAAAGGGCAACTAAGAAAACTCCAATAGACAAGAAAGCAAATGGAAATTCTCAGAAGATCATGAACTACTTATGCTGTGTTTGGTTGGAGGATTTGGGAGGGATTTGGAAAGGGAAAGGGAAAAGGTACGTGAAATGTGAATAAAAATACCTATATTTCACCTAGTTTCACACATCATTTTCCTTTCCTTTTCCAAGTCCCTTTTCAAATCCTCCAACCAAACACAACATTAAAGGATTAAGTGGGTATCCAAAAGCCAAAATGAAAACACATAATTCAGCCATACTAGGCGAAATACTCTTAAAAAGTTTATTTTACAAGGATCCAAAGATGTTATGGAATGCATCTTTTCAGTGTTGGCAGAGTCCAAACTAACATGGCATCACCCAACACCAAATATCAATGATGTGAAACTTTATTATTCTTCCTTACAGGATGAAAAGGTGCATCTTGTTGGTGAAATTCAATGGTGTATTTTGGTTCCCGAGAGCTGCGACTAAAGGTCCCACCTGATATCAACAGTTAATAAACAGAAAAACAAATGTCAGTATTCTAGCACCCAGAATCAATTGCTAACCAGAAAAGCTTTCTTATTATAGACTTGCTATTAAAACCTAGCTTTCCCAGCATCAAAATAAATAAATTGATAAATCTTAACTGATACACTCCCATGATCGACCCTCCAAACCATGAGAATTTGACTACCAGCCTACCATGAATATAAACGGGTCAAATCTTTTCAAATCACAGTATGACTGCATTACTGAAAAGCACATTTAAACAGAATTAGGCTTTGGCATCTCCCACTCTATGGCCACTTTCCACAAATCAGCCTACAGTTGGGTCTGAGTGCAATTGTTTCTTCAGCTGTGGCTTCATCAATTTTGGTACATTTTTCGAATTCTTGGGATCATAGCATAAAACAATAAGACCTTATCACTAGGCCAACGTTCAATAATCTTGGATCATAGCATAAAACAATAAGACCTTATCACTAGGCCAACGTTCAATAATCTTTTTTTTTCAGTTTATTTGAGTTATTTTGCTTCATAGCCCATGAACAGAAACTGCACTAAACATTCTTACACAAATTTCTCAAATAGTATATATATATATATATTATCAATTGCACCTTAAGCTGCACTACACCAAACAGGTCATTGTCGGGGACTTCTCGAATCAAAGCCTTGATACCCTCCTCGAGTCGTCATAATAAAATTAAAAATTAAATTTTTTTTGGTTGTAGTACGGACATACAAAGGAAACACAATGTGGCTCTCCATGCAAGTATGTGATTCTCATCAACAACCTCCTAAACTTCTACACTGTCCCACCACAACACCCAATAAATAAATAAATAAACCCCTTCAATCTAAATAAAGCCGAAGATTTACAAAATAATCCATTGAAAACAAAGGTCGAGAAAGCAAAACTATTACTAATACACCCTATACATCCAATAAATCCATAAACTCGAATTAATTCTCCGTTTGGCATGCAGGAAGTCCAATAAAATTTTATTGACTTAGTTAAAGAGACTAAAAATTGTTACTTTTTCTCTCTTTTCCTAGTATTTTCTAAGGAAACAAACGGCGGATTCGAAATTGTTACCTGCATCAGCTGAGAATATCTGATCGGCGAAGACTTGGCTGTTCAAAAGATTGATCGAGAAAAGTAGGGCACACCACAACACCAATCTCATCTTCCCCAACCCCTTTCTCTCTCTTCTGCGAAACAAAACCCTAATTGTTCTGAGAAGAAGACGATCTGTGATCGGTGGTCTGCGACGCAGAGAAGCTTTTCCGGACGAGTCCCGAGTCTTGACTCGACTGTTTGACTCAGCTTTTGTCCTTGTAAATAAGGCATGTAATTCTATATGGTGTGGGGAGAGTGATTGTCTATGACGAGACTGGGCCAATGAAAAAGAGCCGCGTCAGCAAAAGAAAAACTTTGGCGTGGCGTGATCTTGACTTTTGCTTTTGGTCACGTGGCAGTGGGTGATTGATTTAGTTGACGTGGAGAGGTAGATTAGATTTGGGCTTTTTCTCATGGGCTGTATCTGTAGAACTGTTCAGCCCACTTCAATTAAAAGACCCAACCCAACTTTTGTCTCTTGGTCATAGCTCGTCCTCATTAAGACATTTTGACATGTCTCGGCTCAATTGGGATTGTCATGATCCTTGCGATTAGAATTATTTATTTATTTTGGGTCCATTTGGCAAGATGGTTTGTGGCTAAAATAGTCATAAAAGACAAAATAGGTATGAAGATATATTTTCTGAGTCTCAACACGTAGTCGAGGTGTCACCGAAGTACCAACTGAGGTGCCACGTGTCCTGGTCATGATGCCGAGATGATCTCGACTAGGCCGAGGTTATCTGCGAAGATATCGGAATCCGAAATAAGCGGATAAGGCACAAAGAGTCTTAGAATGAGGAAGGACTTTAGCATAAATAAGAATAACACTCTTAGGAAGTTTGTCTTTATCTCTTGGAGAGTTCAGGATAAGCACTGAGCAGAAGTCTATTGAAGCTAGGCTTCTATGAGGACTAGGATTGAGTTAAGTACAAAAGAAAGGTACCCTGATGGGTCTAAGGTACGCAATTTATATTCTGAACAGTGAGTTTAGCACTATTGATTATCTTTGAGAGATATACTGACTTGATCGTCGGAGTGCCCCCGAGTGGACGAACCACCACCGGAATCTTCTCTTTCTATTGCAGGTCAGGTAGGTGCCATTTATTCTGCCAGTGCTCTCCAGCTGAATACTGAGTTGGCAGTGTGGTCAGAAAATCACTCACACATTAGGTTATTTTAGCCACAACAAACAAAACATCACATTCAACCTATAATTATTACACTCTTTTCTAAAAAAAAAAATCAAAAAGTCAAAAAGTCAAAAAGTCTTTCCCAAACCAAGCTTTTTAGCCCAGGCTAAAATAGTCAAAAAAGTCAAAAAATCAACCCACTTCCCAAAGGGTCGGTTGAATTAGTAATTCATACAAAAATCCAAGGATAAATTATATTCTTATTTTTCAAATTTGATAAAAATAGAGGTAGTTCTATATTTTTGACATAATTATATTGGCTTCTTTTGATGTTTAATTCATATAACAATTATGTCATTTTTTAGCAATACTTTGTTATTGTATGAATTAAAAAATAATGTTGTTATCTCTATTCTACTAAAATATATATTTATTTCGATTATTTCAATATTTACTCACCATCTACGTTAGTTTTGATTATTTTAATCTTTTTAAAATAAAAATTAGTATAATTATGTCAAAAGTACAAAGTAATTAGCTTTTTTGCTAATAGCCAAATATGTGATGTGCACGTCAAATCAATTCTTTTTAACATAAATAATTTTATTTGACATGCTCTACAATTTGATATAATCAATATTTATAATTTATAAGTATTACTCTCTTTGTTTCAAAATAATAGTCTCTTTTTAAAAATTTAATTTTTTTTTTTGGTAGTATAATTATTACACTTTAAAAAAATTGATTTTTCAAAATTATCCTTTGATAGTACATTTTTTGGAGAATTTCAATGTCATAATTATACTTTTTATATTGTTAATAAATTTAAAAGAATGGCAAAATAGAAAATTTATATTATTTTTGTACTTAATTTTTGAAAAGGAATTAATAGTTTAGGATAATGAAAAATTGAATAAGGAATTAATATTTTGAGATGAATGGAGTATGTTTTTTTCTGGCGGATTCGAAATTGTTACCTGCATCAGCTGAGAATATCTGATCGGCGAAGGCTTGGCTGTTCAAAAGATTGATCGAGAAAAGTAGGGCACACCACAACACCAATCTCATCTTCCCCAACCCCTTTCTCTCTCTTCTGCGAAACAAAACCCTAATTGTTCTGAGAAGAAGACGATCTGTGATCGGTGGTCTGCGACGCAGAGAAGCTTTTCCGGACGAGTCCCGAGTCTTGACTCGACTGTTTGACTCAGCTTTTGTCCTTGTAAATAAGGCATGTAATTCTATCACCAAGGATCCTCTAGAGTGAAATTTCTCTAAAGTTTCTTAAAGTACTATATTGTGTGGTTGAGATTTACTGACAAGTCACATCAGAAAAATTGATGTGACTTGCCA